GAGGGTGGCTACAGAACCGGTATGTTTGGGTTAATTATGCTGAGGGCTTGACCTATGTAGGCAAAGCTAAAGGCGGAGAGATGACCCAGGAGCTGGATGGTTTTCAAGCATGGGGTTACCTAAGTGGTCCCTGAAAGCATCCTTAGCTCCAGGGGTTGGAGGTGAATCTTCGTGCTAGGAGACTGCCTTTAACTGCTTCAGCAAGAGGGAGACCTTGCTAGCATCCTCAGTGCCCAGGCCGGGTAAACTGAGGCAGCTCTCCCAGGCCTGGCCTCAGCCCTTTGCTGGTCTGTCCTGGCTTGCCTCTGGGGACTTCTGAAGCTCCCTAAGGTAGTCCTGGCTCCCGTGAGTTCCTTCCCACAGAGCTTCAGAGTGAAGAAAATGACAGACAGCTGGACAACTGGGGGCAGGGCAGAAGCTGAATCTGTGAATACTTAGTGAGCTTGAGGTCCTGACCAGATCCTTCTGGAACTCAGTCCCTCAGTCTGCTTGTCCCTTAGACTCATTTTGTCCCCATCTTGATAATGGCATCACCATCGCCCAGTGACTGGAGATAGAAATCTAAGATGTCGCTCTGATGCTTTGATTGAATTGCAATTTAATTTGTAATTCAATCTGTCTGCACATCTTATCAGTGCTACCCCAAATATTTCTTACGTCTCTCCACATCTATGACACAGCCTTGCCCATCTCACCATTTTCTCCCTTCTAGACTATTACAAGAGCTTCCAAGCTTATTTTCTTGCTTCCTAGCAATTCCAGACTCCAAAACTACCAGAATGATACTTTACAAATGAAAATCAGGGGCCTTTTATTGGTTTTCACTTAGGAAAAAAAAAAAATCTTTGGGCTGGGGTTAAGGTTCATTGGTAGAGTGCTTGCCTAGCATATTGGAGGCCCTGGGTTCTGTCCTCCATACCACATAAATAAATAAATAATCCATCCTGACTCCTCCCCATGACCCTAACTCCTAGCTCATCCCTCCTCTACCCCCTCCAGTCCAGCCACACTGGCTTTTCCTCCTTGCCTATTGGATAGTAAGCTTTTTCCTGCCCCAGGGCCTTTGACCTGTGGTTGCCTGTGCCCGGGACATTCTCCCCCCAGAGCTTGGCATGGCTGGTGCCATCCCATCCTTTGTGTATCAAGTTAGATGTCACCTTCTAAGAGAGGCCTCTCTGGAATACTGGTTAGAAGCCATCTGTTGTGGTTTGGATATGAGGTTTCCCCCCCCCAAAGCTCCTGTTGAGGCAGAAATGTTCAGAGGTGAAATGTTCAGAGGTGGATTGTGAGAGCTATAACCTGGACAGACAGGATGGCAGGTGGGGCATGATGGAGGAGGTGGGTCACTGGGGGCTTGCCCTGGAAGTGTTCATCTTCCCTGTGGCCCCTTCTCCCTTCCACTCACCCTCCGCCTCCTGCCAACCTCGAGCTGAGTGGCTTTCCTCTACTGGGTTCTTCCCCATGAGGTGCCTCCTCATCTTGGGTCGGTCCAGAATAATGGCAGTCTGTGGACTGAGACCTCTGAAACCATGAGCCCCAAATAAACTTCCCCCCTCCAAGTTGTTCTTGTCAGGTATCTTGATCACACTGATGCAAAAACTGACTACAACACCACCCCCAAATTCTCTCCCCCAGAGCCCCATTAATTTCCTTCGTGGCACACAACGTCGCAGGTTGTAATCACTTACGGACACTTATGGACCCTCTGTCTCCCCACGAGAATGGAGGTTACACGAGGTCAGGTACTGCCTGTGTCTCACTTATAGAATTTTTTTTTTCTTCTTGAGCAAACTATTTGGTTGTACAGGATATATTCAGAAAAGTGCACACGTCTTAAGAGTACAGGTGGATGAATTTTCACCAAGTGAGCACACTTGTGCAACCATCTTCAGGTCACGAAACAAAACACTCCCAAATAGGGAGTTAGTGTTTAATGGAGCAGTTTCAGTTTTACAAGCTGAAAAGAATCCAGGAGATGGATGGCAGCAATGTATTTAATACCACTGAGCTGCACGCTTACCAAGTTAAGATGGTACATTTTATGCCATGTATATTTTATTGTGATTAAAAAAAAAACATTTTCAAATTAAAAAATAATGTAAAAAGCACTCCCAACTCCTTGGAATTTTCCATGTCTTCCCGGGGACAAACACCCTCCTAATGAGTTTTGTGCTTTATATAAATTGTATCAAATAGGATTGTTGTTATGGTTTGGGCCTGGAATGTCCCCCCAGAGGCTCAGTGTTGAAGGCTTAGTCCCCACTGCAGCTAGGTTCAGAGGTGGGGCTCTCGGGAAGTGACTGGATCATGAGGGCCTGACCTTACCAGTGAATGGATCCATTAATGGATTCATAATTGAATAGACGATTGGAAGGCAGTGGAAAATGTAGGAAGTGGACTTAGTTGAAGGGAGTGGGTAGTGGGTATTAGGCGCATGCCCTTGGGGACCATAGTTTGTCCCAAAACCTTTCTTCTCTGCTTTTCTCCTTTTTCTCTCATGATGCTCTGCCTTGCCCAAAGGCCCCCAAATAGTAGAGACTGCTGACTGAACCCCTGAGCCCCCCACCAGGAAAAAAAAAAAAGCTTTTCTCCTTTAAGTTGTTTTTCTCAATTTTGGGGGGTATGGGGATTGAACCCAGGAGTGCTTAACCACTGAGCCACATCCCCAGCCCTTTGTATATTTTACTTTGAGACAATTTCATTTTGAAACGGGGTCTTACTAAGTTTCTTAGGGCCTCACTCACTAAGTTGCCAACACTGGCTTTGGACTTGAAATCCTCTTGCCTCAGCCTCCGGGAGGGAGCCTGAGCTGCTGGGATTAAAGGCATGTGCCACCACACCCAGTTCAAGTATTTTGTCACTGCAATGAAAAGCAACGAACACAATTGTGATAGGCAGAACCATGATCCCCAAAGAGGTCCACATCCTCATCCCCAGAATCTCTGAATGTGTTACCTTGCCCAGCATAAGGAACTTTGCACATGTGATTAAATTAAGGACTTTGAGATAGGTCCTTGAGTTTTTCAGGACCTATATCATTACAAAGGTCTTTCAATATCATTACAAAGGTCTTTATAAGAGGGTGGCAAAAGAGGTCCAAGCAATGCAACATGAAAAGGATTCCACCTGTTTGTTGCTGTCTTTAAAGATGGTGGAAGGGCAATAGTCAAAGAAGGTTGGTGGCTTCTAGAAGCTAGAAAAGGCAAAGAAACAGACTCCCCCTTGGAGCTTAAAGGGACACAGCTCTGCCCACACTTTGACCTGAGCCAGTGGGATCCATGTCAGCCTTCTATTCTATGAAAACATAAGAAAATATATGTTTCAAGCCACCATAGTTGAGGCAGCTTCTTACAGAGCAACAGGAAATGAATGCAGGTAAGTATTTGTTCCTGGCATCTTTGCCCAACATGTGAGTTGTACCATATAATATTCCATTTCATTCCATGAATATACCACATTTTACTCATCAATTGCCAATAGATATATGGGTATTTCCAGTGTGCACTAATATGCATAATGCTGCTAGGAACATTCTTATACATTTCTTCTACATGCTAACATAAGAGCATATTTCTGTTGCACATATATAGGAATAGAATTGCTGCATTATAGAACTTGCATATACAGTGGACACGGTGATGCCTTCTGCATCACAGCTTCGGGACCTATTCCCCAGCTGCTAGAAGGGCTGCTAGCTGACCACTCTGAGCTGCCAATCCTCTCTGTGTATGTGCCCCAGCTGGAAAGGACTCCTTTGGTCAGGGGTACATATGCTTCCCAGAGTTACCCTGCATCCACTTGATGACTGGTTGATACATGCAGTAGGGAGATGTGAAGGCTCCTTTTCCATTGCCACTTGTAATATTTTTAAAGGGTCACCCCAGATTCAGAGTTCAGGGATCAGGGGAGGCTTCTGTTGAGGCTACATCCCAACCCAGCTTCTCCCTCTGCCCAACCCTGCTTCCTCCCCTTCCCCGGAGAGACTCCTGCATGCTCATCTCCATCTCAGATCAGTTTCTGGGGCATCCAATCTGCAATATCTTCTTTCTACTTTCATGGATATTATCAAAAATGTTCTAAGGTGGTCATTCTGGGATACCACCAACAGCCTGAGAGAGTTTCAGTTGCTCAATATTCTTGTCAGCACTAGTATTTTATTTAAAATACACACACGCACACACACATATGATATTTTGCCACTGTGGGTGGGTAGTGTGAGTTAGTCAGCTTTCTGTCACTAAATACTGCTGTGGTTTGGAAGTGTCCCCAAAGGCTCATGTGCTAAAGGTGGAACACCATCCTGTGGTGCTATTGGGAAAGGTGGGGCCTGGTGGAAGGAAGTTCATTGGAGGTGTGCCCTTCCAATGAAGAGGCTGCTAGGCCTTAGGCCTTCCTGTCTCTCTGCATCCTGATGGCCATGAGGGCAGCAGTTTTCTCTGCTGGGTACTTCCACCATGATCTACTGCCTCACCATTGGCTCAAAGGAAACCATGAACTGAAACTAGGAGCCAAAAGAAAACTTTTCTCCTTATAAGCTTATTTATCTCAGGTTATTTTGTCATAATGCTGGGAAGCTGACTTCTACCCAGTGATTTGAGAGGCTGAGGCAGGAGGATCACAAGTTCAAGGCCAGCCTCGGCAACTTAGTGAGACCTTGTCTCAAAATAAAAAAGGGCCAGGGATAAAACACAGTGGTAAAACATCCCAGTGTTCACATACTGAAAACAAGATAGAAATACTATAAAATAAAACAAAAAAGGGCTAAGCATGGTGGCAAACTCCTGTAAATCCAGCAGCTCAGGAAGCTGAGGTAGGAGGATCACAAGTTCAAAGCCAGCCTTAGCAACTTAATGAGTAACTTAGGAAACTCTATCTCAAAAGAAAAAGTAAAATGGACTGGTATATATCTCAGTGGTTAAGTGCCCCTGGGTCAATACCTGGTCCAAAAAAATAAAATAAAATAAATAAAACAAACAAAAAAGAAATAAAGAAAACTGATGAACACATCAACTTATAAAGGTTTATTTTGGCCCAGTTTTGGAGGTTTCCGCCAATGAGCAGATGTCTTTCACGGTTTTCTCCTAAGGATTTGAAATGTTCATCTATTTTGGACACAAATCCTTTGCTGGATATTTTGCAACATAAATTCTGAGTTGGAGAAACTCAGTGCCTCAACATGCTAGCCCATGCTGGGCCGCAATAAAAATGGATTACATGGATGTTTGAGTTTGAAAATTCCTTTAAAGGAAAGAATGCTTGGATAGGTGAAACAATGAGGCTTTATCGTAATCGGATATAGGTATGGGTCCGCAGGAAGGGAGATAGAAACTTAAAGAGAAAAGCACAGAATGCAAGTAACACATCCTCAAAATTTGTCACTCCCAGCCTTCAGTTTTTGGCTTTGGTCTTTTAAGCACTCAAGTTCTTAAAGGTAATTGTAAATTAACACTATTCAAAGAATGTCCATGGAAGATATCAATGGGCCCGCCGGTTCTACGCGCTGAGGACCCGCAGTAAACAAGATCCTTGTTTCCAGGAGATCTAGAAGAAGAGACAACAACAGGTAAACAAAATAATTCCAGAGAGCAGTGAACTGAAGAAGTCGGACATGGAGGGAAGAAGGAAGGGGGTTGATCCAGCAACTCCCAGGCCGGGACACAAGGAAGGTCCCACCCTTGGCCCCGCCTCTAGCTTTGCATACGCCTCCTGATTGGCCAACGGCGGCAGGCACCGCCCCACGGAGCTGGCAGCTCGGGAAGCAGCAGGGCCAAGATGCAGCCGCGGCTCCGGGTGTCGCCGGGCGGGCCGGGGACAGCTCAGGCCAGAGCCGAACACGGGGTGCCCGCTGCGACACTCGCACG